GATGTGGTCTATAGGTTTCTAAAGTCTCCCCACCCACAAACCTGCCAAGACACAAATCATTGCAAGGAGAGGCCTTGCATTGCTTTCAGAGCAAATATAACATTTTATCACCAGTGGACAAGCTCACCTCCAGTTCATTCAAGCGCTGGATTCGTGGGGTGAAACGAAAACTCTGTACTTCACATGCAAATGGTGGCTGCCAGTCCTAAACAGGGACAGAAAGACTTTTTAGTACTTCAAGAAATCTCTGAAAAATATGCAAAGAAAAAAAACCTACTAACTTCTGAGCAAACAAGTTTCCAACAGTTAATGAGTTTCTTGGTACAWCTTGCAATATAATTTTCTGGTGTTATGATATTATTATGCTTTTAATATAGTGTTGTTCCCATAACAGAGTCACAAGAAATAGACCCTCATAAAACTAAAAATATAAAAGAAAAATGGTTAAAAGCAGCGTATACTTCCTTATACTGAACCAAATATGAGAAAAGCCCTGTAGGTTTCTGGTTATTTCTTTAATCAATAAAAAACTATGTATTCTGCATATTGCAAAATCTCACTATTAACAGTTTAAAATACTAAATAAAATACGTTATTATGTGTCTAACKTTAAACACGTCTATCTACAATCTTATTTCATTAAAGACAGGAAGCCCAGTCAAGAGTCTAACACTGACATAAACACAGTTAAGTAAAGACTTTCTTAATATTATCAGTAGTCATTCAACCATAAATACTTTCCAGTTCCATCTATCAAACTGAGTGATGTCAGTAAAAAACCAAACCAAAAGGAACAAAAAAATCCCATATATTCAGCTCTTTAGTACTTTTAAAATCATTTTAAAACAATGTAGAAAGCCTGTCTGATAAAAAATAATTTTAGAAGTACAATGAAGTAAGGATACAACAGACTAAATTATTATTATTTTTATTGCTACAGCATGTGAAAGCCTCAAGCAAGACTGTAAAATATTTACAGCTTCTAATAATGGAAAAGAATAACGAACCGGTAGGGCCAGTATCAAGTGTCTGATATAGGCCTTATTGCAGGTTGCAAATCAAGCTGCCCCTGCATCTGCAAAACACTGCACCACAAACAGCTAAATAACCACGCAGAAACACCACGGTGTTTGACTGCTAGGAAAGTTCTAGTTGTTCTCAATGAACGGGATCTGGATCAGGCTCTTGCAGCCTCTCAATCCAAGCCATTCTGCTTATTTTAGAAAGGGCAGCCCCTCCGAGGTCAAGTTTTCACGCTGTCATTACACCCACTAAACTGATTCAAGCAACCAGACACATTAGGAGGAAGGGAAGGGTCATAAAATCCAATCAGTGACTCCTGGGCGCACGATGTTCTCAACTACATTGTTTTATAAGATCCTTCTTTCTCCCTCAGCGTTTGTAATACTCCTTTGTTATGGACGTATTTAAGGTTTATTTGGGTGTCGATGGGTTCTAAGAACATTTCTGTAGGTTCTCTGTGATCCTGTCGCATGGTTTACCAGGTCACAGGCCAAGCCATCATAAACAATGACCCATCCACCAGGTCACCTGAAATGTTCAGCTTATACTTTCCAAGCTGCTCTGCATAAACATAACTCCTGCGCCCAAACAGGTTGGCAGCCATTCTATTAATAGTGACAGGATTATGTTTATACATAAAGATCCATCACAGAACAAAATCCTCCCCTCTCACCTCCTGCTAAGAGGTAAGTTTTTTTCCCTGTAACACTTTTACAGGGTTGAGACTGGCCGTAGCGAGGGAGCAGGTTTGCAGGGAGAAAGAAAGAGGAGGGTGTTTGAGGGTTTATTTGTTTTGGTTTTGTTTTAAGCGAGGGGGAGCGTGAAGCCCTGGCACAAACATGCACGTCTCGCCCCTCACCTGCCCCAAAGCAGCCCCCGAGATCAAAGACCGCCCCCCCGCCAAGGGCCTAACGGGGGACACGCACGAAGGCCGGGGCCTACGAAGGCCGGGGCAAGGCCCGGGACTGAGCCCCGCACAGGCCCCAGCAGCGCCCCGAGCGCAGCCGAGGGGCTGCCCGGGCCTCCCCGCAGCCGCCTCCGCGCCGGGAGGCCCCGCGAGCCCCGCGGCGGCGCGGCCGCGGGCGGTACCTTGGGGGGCCGGATCTTGCAGATGCCGGTTTTCTCGGCCAGGGCGCGGATGCGGCCGATGAAGCCGAGGGGGTCGCTGAACTCCTCCCAGCTGGGCTCGAACACGGGGCACTCGGGCGGCGGGACGAACTCGGCCGCGTAGCGCGACCCGCCGCCGCCCCCCGAC